TACTAAAGTTATTCAATTTCCTCGGCACGATGTGGAGGATCGCCTCATTTGGCATAACTCAGCTGATGGCATTTTCACAGTTAAATCAGCTTATCATCTTGCGGTTTCTCTTGACAAACAAAGGGGGCGATGGCGGTCTACGGCTAGTTGAATGTATAAAGCCAGTTGGATTCGTCTTTGGGAGGCTACTATTCCAACCAAATTAAAAGTCTTCTTGTGGAAGATATTCCACCGAATCCTCCCAACTACTGAAGCCCTGAGGGAGAAGGATGTTCCAGTGCTCCCTAGGTGCCCGGTTTGCTGGGCTGAGTTTGAAACAATGGAACATTTGTTTTTGTACTGCCCGGTGGCGCGAGCTCTTTGGGATTATTCGGGCCTGGAGTATCTGGGTCATGGATTGCCGCGACATACATTCCCTCTATTTCTCAAGAAGCAGGTGTCTCTGTTAAGTCAACCTCCTCTTTTCATGGCAGTTGTTGCCATCCTTTGGAGGATCTGGCGATCTCAGAATTGGGTTGCCTTCGAGGGTATACAGTTTGGGCTCCCAGCCCTGATGCATCAATTCCATCAACATTATAAGGAGTGGGTTCACCTACCGGTGGAGCCATCCCCTCGGTCCTCCTTCCCAGTGTCCCAGCACCAACTTCCAGTTGCGGATGATTCGGCTGCATGTATGTGGGATGGGGCTACTAAAAGTGGGTTGCATTCGGCCGGCGGGATAGTGATCCTGAGTCCGACTAGGGATGTTCTTTTTGTTAAAGGAACCCAGTTCCCGTTGATTGATGATCCCGTAGTGGTGGAATTACTCACGCTCAGGGAGGCAATATTGTGGTGCACTAGTCATGGCCTAACAGAGATAAGATTTAAAGGTGATGCCAAGGTCGTCATTGATAAAATTAATCAGGCAGATTCCAGGGATAACCGGATGGGGGTGGTTCTTGAAGAAGTCATTCATTATTTTGCTGCTCATTCTAGGTTTTCTATTAGATTTGTAGGTCGGAGTAACAATAGGGTAGCCCATATGGTGGCTCGAAAGGCCCTTTAATTGTACTCGACTACGAGTATGTTCTTTAATTTTCAGACCTGCTGAACTTCAGGATGTAACTGTCTCTATTATAAAATCAATATGATTATCTTTTGTCAAAATAAAATATTCTTATATCTTATTTCATCTTTAGGTACTGTACTGGTCGTCTAATTCTGTTAACTATGTCTTATATATCTGTCGATTTTGATGTTCGACTGTTAAATAGTTGGTGTGGTTCGTCTTCCCAAATCCATCGAGATTTTTTCTACTCAATTTTGTCGGTATTGACTAGGGGGTCGATAAGTAGATGATCGAGACTAGCTCGAGTGACCTGCAACGGTGGTGCCATTGAAAACATGACAAATTATTACTTTCAACTTCACTCTAGGGGTGGGTATTTGGTTCGGTAAAATTCGAATTGAGCCGAGCCGAATCCAATCAGGACCAAACCAAAATCGAAGAAAAGTTGTTCGATTCGAAATTCGGAAAGGAAATGTGCTTAGTTTGGAAACCAGAGTTTTGTCGACCGAATCGAGTTTCCGAAATTTGAAATGAAAAACCGAACAACTAAAACTAGCCCACATATTATTGTTAAAGACCACTCACTTGGCCCAAACTTCTCTCCCTCTACCATCATAGCCCCCCGAACACACTCCCTCAACCCTCATAGGGCGAAGCCCACCCAAACACACTCTTGAAATACTCCTTACTGGCTAACCCTAAGGAAGGAAGAATAGAGACAAAACACAACAAGGAAGAAAAGAGGAACTCGTCGTCGCCACCGCCAACGCTAGCATAAGCGACACAGCTCTTCTCTTCCCTTCTCTTCAATTGCAACACAGACAACAACATGCATGTGACGTCACATGCTGGAATAAACCAATGACGGAGGCAGGGGAAGATCGGCGTTGGAGAAGAAAAAATTAGTGAGGAAGACGCTCCGAGTATGGGCTTGCATGCGCTGGAACTCGTTGAGGCCTTGAGGGGTTATGAATCTAACATGAGATTAAAGCTCCGACCACTGATTCTGGTTCGGGACCATCTTGGTAGGGCTGGATTGCGGTTTCACGGTTAAACCGATAACCGCACCGAGATCGCGCGGTTATTGGTTAACCGCAAACCGCATATTTTGCCTATTTTGCGGTCGCGGTTGGAGATATGGGCTGTTACCGCAACCGAAACCGCAAATCAGTATAACCGCAAGGCTAACCGCGACCTAGCCCTAGTCCAAAGTTAACCCCCAACCCGGCAGCCCAACCCCGACCCGGCCCAGCCCCTCCCCCACTTCTCCCTTTTGCCGTCGTTTTGATTTGACGAAATGAAAATTCATTTCCCTTCGACCCTTCCCATCTTCCCGCGCCGTCGTCTGAAAACCTTAAGCCAAGCCAGCAACTGAAAACCCTTCAAACCTTCCCATCTTCCCGCTACAGCGCTGCGCCGTTGCCATCCGCCCGCCGCTGTCCCTGGCCGTCCTGCGTCCCTAAACGAAGGAAAAACAAAACAAAGGAAATTTTGATGGAAGTGAAAATAGACAAAACAGTAGCTGCTGTGTTTTTTTCATGTATTTTTTGCGGTTAGTTTGCTTAACCGCGGTTTCGTATACTGTTTTGGTTGTTGCAGTTTTTACAACCAGAAACCACGGTTCATCGTTAACCGCGTTTTGCGATTTTTGATTAACCGCTAACCGTGAGGGACGCGGTCGCGGTTGGCTAATATGGGTGTTTTGCGGTTACAGTTAACCGCAACCGCACCGTTTCCCACCCCTACATCTTGGTCTTCTTAGTGGGCTTTCACTAGGGATGGCAATGGGTAGGGTTGGGTCGGGTTTTGCCAAACCCAAACCCAAACACATGGGTTTATCCATAAATAAAACTCGGGGTAAAACCCACTGGGTTTGAAAAACTCAAACCTAACCCAACCCGTTTGGTATCCGCGAGTTCATAAGCACCCATGGGTTTTTGTGGTAAAAAATTTACAATAACAAGTTCCTATCAAAATAAAATTCAAACATCAATTTCCCTATACAAATTATCCATACATAAAACACCATTCTAGAAAATTCAAATTTATCACAATTACACTAAGTGGTCGTTTGGATAAGGGATTTGAATATTGAAGGATTTGAATCTAAATTCCTCAATTAAAACCCGTGAGAATTAAAACGCAGGATTTAAATAAAATACTTGTTTGTTTAACTGTCCAGAATTGTCATCAAAGAATTTAAGTTTTAGTTACAAATATAAAATTACAGTTTTGTCCTTTTCCTTATTTTACTCACAGACCCAACACAATCCCTAACCCCTTCTATGTCGTAGTCGTCTTCTTCCTTCCTTTGTCGAAATCGCTGACCATGTAATCGACGGCGGCAACCAGCATCAGACTCATTCGACGGCGGCAACCAGCATCCCAAACAGGGCTAGGGTCGTCGAGCTTTGCCAACGATTGGTTCCTTGAAGTTGATGCGATTGTTCGGCGGATTTCGAAGCATAACCATTCGAGAAGCTTTTGCTGCCTGATGGAACTAAATCCCATGACCTTCAAGACGCAGAGCAACCAAGTGCGACGAGGAAGAAATCCAATCCTTGAACCCTTCAATCCCAAATCGACGAATAAGAACCCAAAACCCAAAATCAAATCGACGAATGAGAACACCCAAACCTTAAATTTGAGCTCCCACCCGCTCACCGCTTGTTTCTTTACAGATCCGAGCGTTCTCTAACGAAAACCTCGTTTCTTTCTAGATTTATTGATGACGGAAGAAACTTTGGCGAGGCCGAGTCTGGCGAGGTTGTGGAGGCCGAAGAAGAAAAGACGTAAGATAAGGAGGAGCGGAGGGAAGAGTGGGAATAAGAGAAGGACAAGGTAGATCAAGAGTTGGCAGAGAATAGACAAGGACACGATCGACATACAATAAAAGTTTTTTTTTTATAAGGGTGATATAGGTTTTATTTTGTTGTTATTTAAGGTACTACTTAAAGGATTCGAACCTGGGACCTCCAGGTTCTAGGCTAGTGGTATTTCCACTAGACCAAGCCCTTGTTCGTAAAAACACAAGCTGATCGACATACAATAAAAGTTGGACCGGATTTCAAAATACCTGGGGGAGGTCAGTTATTTCCAATTCCGGGATGTGCCGGATTTTCAAAACCCGCATGAACCAAATCTCGCGTTATTGGGCACATACCCAAACAACATAATTTGTTAAAATCCGGGACGGACCGGGTTTTGGCCCAAATCCCTATCCAGAAATATGAATCCAAAGGATCCCTAAATAAAATCACACGAAATAAGTGTAGTGAGAGTTAGATTGGAGGAAATTAGAATTAGGGTAGGGTTTGGGGAGAGTAGTGCGACAAAATAAGTGTGGGCGGGTATCTATGGGTCGGGTACCCCTAAACCCAAACCCACCCCAACCTAGTGAATCGTGTGTGAGTTTAAATCCAAACCGAGCCTGAAACCCGTCAATTCTAATTTTACCCGTGTTGACCGAATTGGATCAAGTATGATACTCATGAGTTCGAGTTTTGTTGCCATCCCTAGTTTTCCGTGATAATTGATTCCATATATCATATTTGACAAATTTTCAATACAGACCACGAATATTTCAGTGGTCTAATCAGAATACGGCAATTTGACATTGGAGAATGTCCAAATTGTCTCGAGAAGAGTAAAATTGCAATTGGAACACAAATTGAGCAATGTAAAGAGCGGATCCAGGCTAGAAAAGAGGGGTTGATCAAGTGGGGGCACCAAAGCAAAGCAAGCAAGCTTGGCCAAAAGTAATTGAACAGAATCCAAGTGGGCTTTCACGTCCGAAGTTGAAGGAAGCAATTATTACAGAGCAAGCCCCAAACTTGCACTTGCTTCCCCCAACCTCCTCCTCCTCCTCCACTCCCCATTTCAAACCAGAAACCCCAAAAATGGAAAACAAATAATTATTTAATAAAATAGAAAATGACAGCCAGACAACTCCGTCCGAAATATAATAAGTTAAATTAACAACACAACGGAACTCGGGGCTTCTTTTCCGAGTTTTCCCTTCTCCCCCAACTCGGAAACAGAGGAACAAGCCAACAGATTATAAGGAAAGAGAGAGAGAGAATCAGAGAATCCCACCCACAGCTCAGCGACAGAGAGACGCAGGCAGGCGAGGCCACCCCCTGCCTTCTCTTCTCCGCCTGGCTCTCTCTCTCTCTGGCTGCTCAATTCCTTTCACCGCCATTCCTCTGTTTCCCTCATTCTGAATCTCTGTTCCCTACTACCCACAGGTCCCTTTCCCTCCTTCCCACCACTCTCTCTCTATAACAATGGGTTGCTTTTAATGTACCTATCATCTCTGGGTTGCTTCATGGGTGGCTAGAATTTGATGGGTTGGGTTCTCAATTTTGGCAATTTTACTTCCTCTCTTTTGGGAAGTTTTCAGCTGATGGGGTTTCTGATGCCGATTCTCGTCTGTTTCTCTCTGTCTCTTAGTTTCTGCGCTTATTTGAACTTGAAAGCTTGCTCCTCTGGAGTAATATTGAAAAGGGGAAGTGTTTTGAATGAGAAAACGTGTTGAGTCTCGAGTAGTACTAAGCCTGTTTTTTGTTCTGACTGCAGAAAACGAAAACTTTTGGCGCTTTCTTCGGTTCTGATTTGGCTTCGTTATGATGTAACTCTGCAGATCCAGCTGATTTATCCCCAAGTGTGAAGCTTTCGACACTGGTTGGAGGGGTTTTCCGATTTTCCCCACTTTCCTGGTTATTGTATCCCTGCCTGTTTGCGGCAGGCGTCGTCATCATCACATCCGACCTTCGTGGACAAAGAAGAGCATATTCTAGGGTTTTGACAGCAAAGTTCGAGGACTTTTGACTTTTCAAGTTCCTGAATTCTAGCTGGTCTCGGTTGTTATTATACTGAGACCCGAGCTGGAAATTAAGCCCCGGAAATTTTGGTGAGTTTTGAGAGGGATTCATAATTGGCATCTCTTGGTGGGGTTTTGGAATGGCTGTTGCTGAAGGCAACACCTTCAACTTCTTCAACGCTGAGCCATCCAAGCAACCCTGCAATTGCTACATTGTTTCAAACTTATCTGAACCCATTTTGGAGACGGAGCAGACCTCAAGCTTGACAGAAAAGTACGTTCTTGGGGAGCAATTGGGCTGGGGACAATTTGGTGTCATTAGAGTCTGCACAGAGAAGTCTACAGGGGAGCTGTTCGCCTGCAAATCAATCGCCAAGGATAGATTGGTGACATCAGATGACACGAGAAGTGTCAAGCTTGAGATCGAGATAATGACCAAGTTATCTGGTCATCCAAATGTTGTTCATCTCAAGGCAGTTTATGAAGATGAAGATTACATCCACTTGGTGATGGAACTTTGTGTTGGTGGGGAGCTTTTTCATCTGTTAGAGAAGCATGGACGGTTCTGTGAGTCCGAAGCTAAAGTTCTTTTCCGAGATCTGATGCAAGTGGTATTGCATTGCCATGAAATTGGAGTTGTTCATAGAGATCTGAAACCAGAGAACATCCTCTTGGCAACAAATTCCTCTTCTTCACAGATTAAACTGGCTGATTTCGGTCTTGCAACATATGTCCAGCCTGGTATACTTCCTTTCCCCCCCAAAGTTGTTGCATTCAACTGTTTTTTTTCGTTTAAAATTACTGTTTCTCTGAAGCTTTTTGCTCCTTTGATGGTTCAATCAGGTCAGAATCTGAAAGGAACAGTTGGAAGCCCATTTTACATAGCTCCAGAGGTGCTCTCAGGAGGATATAATCAGAGTGCTGATATATGGAGTGCCGGGGTTATCCTCTACATTCTTCTCAGTGGGATGCCCCCTTTCTGGGGCAAGACTAAGTCACAGATTTTTCACGCTGTTAGGGCGGCAGATCTTCGGTTCCCTTCTAATCCTTGGGATAGAGTTGCCAAATCGGCGAGAGAATTAGTTAAGGGAATGTTGTGCGTGGATCCCGTGCAGAGACTGACTGCTCAGCAGGTGTTAGGTGCGGTTATAATGGTCATGTGTTTCTGCTGAAATTTGAATGTTTTGTGAGTTTTGAGCTGAGTATTTGATCACACAGTTTTTTATTTTGGTAGATCACCCGTGGATGAATGACCAAAGACCGAGTCTCGAAGATACATGTCAGCACGCGAACGAAAGTTGTGGAGAGTTGAGTTTGGGTTGCACTTCATTCTCGAGGATGATAACGAGGAATCAGGACATCAGCTTTGGCACAGGATCACATATTATATGTGAGGAGGTTCAGTCACCGGCTTCAATGAGTAGGTCATCGTTCTCTTCTATGGTAGCACAACCATCTACACCTTGCATTCTATCAGGTGGATTTTCATTTCGAAGCGATGGTGAGTCTGCACCTTTGGAGTTTGCTTCACCTATGTCCTCGATGCCAAGCTTTGCATTCTTCAGTCCCGACCCCACGATCAAACACCAAGGAAGCAACAGTTGCAGAGGAGATGCAGTGCTTGCACAGACCGAGTCTTCTTTATTTGAAGCTGGAGGAGCTGCAGAACAACACAGGATATCGTCCGAGTTTAAGCGTGCAGGGGGGACAATTGGGCCGAGGGTGCTGGGAATGCACAGCAAGAGGTACCGGACTATTGGTCTTGGGGAGCGTGAGCAGCTTGATCTAATGGTAACCGAATCGGTGATCCGCTGGGCATCCTGCACGAATCTTCCTACCGCATCATCTCTCAGGTCATCCCTCGTGTGCTGAAAGAGAGTAGCTGCGCTGACGCCTGCTGACAGTACTAGTAAAAACCCACATATGGAGTGCTCGCCTCTGCAAAAAAAAAAAAAAAAAAAAAAAAAACTTATGCAAGCATCCGTGAGAATTGTAACATCTAATGTATCATCTTTTATAGCGGGGAGTCTGGGAGAGTGTTATGTGTCATGCATTTCTTGCCAGGGCGAGATTATGTTGCAGCCATGAGAAACCCTCCTAGTTCAGGGTTAAGCTTCAATTGAGAGAATGGGGTGGTGTGCCAAATAATGTTTGTTCTATGGAAGTTCATGTTCAGTTGAGTTTAGGGTAAGGGTGAGTGGAGGTGTTTCATGGTTTGGCCTTGTGTATAGATTCTGCATCTTTTTGTTGGAATGGAGTTGTGTGTTACTATCAAGGCTAAAGAAAAGAAGCATCTTCTTTTGTGGATTTCCAAACCTTTTCTTTCAAACGGCTAGTTGTGTGGTCCACTGACCCTTAAATTGCTATACCCTTTCTTCAAAGGGCAGGGAACAGCCAGGGTCAAATGGAATTGGGATATAGCCCAGGAGGTCGGGGGAAGTGGAGATGTTGGGAGGAATTGTTGTCTATTTGCCTTGTGGGGCAAGGACTAAAGAATGAAAGCTAGAACTAGTTGGATTCCATTTTTGCTAAAAGAAGAGAGGGTATCCCCTCCCCTCCCTGGAATGGGTTCCCTCCCTGTAAAGTTCCTTTCTTTCTCCTTTGGCCCCTACCATTTTGGCAACTGAATAACATGACCAACCTAACTCCCCCAGCTATAGCCATGGCAAAGAAAAGTAGGTGTCAGATTGGCATTATTGCTCATGTGAAAGGGCAATCCATTAGCCAACTTGAACAGTTGCAAGCTATTTTGACTTTGTATTTGTTTTGGTGAAGACTTGACAAATTCAGGAGAGATTCCTTGAATGACTTGAGAACTCTCATTGTGCAAGATTAAAGTCTATAATAGAAGATGGTATTCAATTCCTACCAAGTCAAACCACTAGATAGGTTGAATATTCGACAGCAGCATGTTCAAATGTGACATCAGCTCTACGCAACGCCCATGTCACAATTCTTTATGGGACTCGAAGATTGCAATTCAATGGTAGCCACCAATTTTTGTCTCTTATCTAATCCACTCATATCATCATCATGTCATCCACCAAGAACTCCAATACCCTCCATTTCCAGTTTTACCTTCAGCACTCAGAAAAAAAACTAACAGATGGGTTGTAAGATCAACACTTTAAACCCTCCAATGGTGTTCAAGTCCTCCACTTTAAGACCCAGTTTCAGAATTACAGCAGTTTCCTCTTTTGCTTCTTCAAGCCCAAAACAGCAAGCATCCACCCGCACAACCAAGCTTCCGAATTCCGATGCTTACAGTATCAGCTTCAAAACTCTGGAAGCTTGCAAGCTTGGCATCTCCAGATATCCCGATTTCGACTACAATGCCAAAGGTGGCACAGGAACTGGGATTGGGACTAAAGATGGCGACCATATTTCAGTATCATTCGACCTGCAGAATCTGTACATTCCACCACTGACGAGCGAGACCACCAGGATTTTGGGGTTGCCATTGCCGCCGGGCCTGAAGATTGATATAGTCCCTGAATCATTTCAGGGCAGGATTGCTCCAGATTCAGGTAAGGCGGAACTTGAATTTGTTGCCAATTTCTGGTTCTCTGCTGGGAGTTTCTACAGAGCTCCTCCGCTGCTGGTGAAGACGGTGCTAACTTCAGAGGAATCGAGAGGAAGCATCCGCAATGGAGTAGGGGAGAGGTTGGATAAAGCAGGGAAATGCAGATTGGTTGGGGTGGCTTCAGTTGATCCAATTGATGATGTTTTCATGAACACTTTTCTCAGTCTCCCAACTGAATGTCTGGCCATTCTCAATGCTGTAATTTCAATTTCTGAATAGAAGAAACTAGGTATTTTGGAGAGTCACCAGTAACATTCCTCAGTAACCAAACTACCACAAGCAAGACAGCAAGAGTATCGAGGAGAAAACTTTTGTATATTCAAAACTCATCATTGTTGATTTACACGAGGCTGTGGTCCTATTATTCTATGGAAATTGAAAAAAAGGCTAAAAAGGATGGTTGAGTCATTCAAAAGCCAGTCTTTGAGTGCCGACTAGTGTATCATATTTACCCTTTTCGGCCAGCAACTGTAAATGGGTTCCGAGTTCTGCAATCCTTCCATCAGTAACAACTGCAATCTGATGCGCATTCTGAACTGTACTTAATCTGTGAGCAATTACCATTGTCGTCCTCCCTTTCATCAGATGATTGAGTGCTCCCTGGACTAGCCGTTCGCTAACTGCATCTAGTGCACTGGTTGCCTGCACAAAAATAGTTTTCTAGTCACTTATGAGTTATGAGGAGTGCACACAAATGATGAAGCTTATAAACAGCCATTGGTTACCTCATCAAGGATAAGGATTGGGGCATTCTTGAGCAGCGCTCTCGCAATAGCAATCCTCTAGACAATTGAGAACCAGTTAAAAAATATGCAGTTTAAACCAATCCATTAAACTCGAGCTTCTATTGTTTGTGATTGATAAGTTGTGTTTACATACCTGCCTCTGCCCTCCACTCAGCAAGCCTCCGCGCTCACCAACTAGAGTGTCGTAACCCTTTTGACATGCAAATGAAGTCTTAGGAAAAGAAAGAAAGAAAAGGTATACAGACATGAAACTAAAAAACAGATTTCAGAACGATAATATCTAACCTGTGGCAGTGAAACTATGAACTCGTGTGCATTTGCAGCTTTGGCAGCCTTTATGATGTCATCTTTGGACACATTTTCATCAGGAAGCCCATATGCAATGTTCTCTCCAACTGAAACCGAAAAAAGAACTGGTTCCTGTATACATGAGCAAATGCTTTTAGTATTGGTAACTTAACATTAGCATTCTAGATCGTCCCTCTTCGATTTAACTGTTTCCCAGCTTTCACTAAACTGATCAAAATGCATTACTTGGTTTACTATGGAGACCACACGAGCCCACTCTGTCTTTTCAAATGTCCTGATATCTTCCCCAGAGAGTGTTATTCGACCTTTGGTTGGCTGCAAAAACAGATGTCGATGAAAATAATTCAGTGATAGAGTGACAGAAAACGTATCATCTATACAAAGAGCAATAGCAGGGAGAAGAAACCGTACCTCATAGAATCGTGATAGTAGCTGTACTATAGTGCTTTTGCCTGCACCGCTTGGCCCAACTAGAGCAGTCACGGTTCCACACTTCAGGGTCAAATCGAGGCCACTTAAAATTTCTATATCAGGTCTCAAGGGATATGAGAAATGCACATCTGCAATAATCCCCGGTTACAAGATAGTAAGAACCTTTAGTCAAAACATGGAATTTATACATTGATAACAATAAAAAAGGTACCTTCGAGACAAATGTCAGCAGACCAAGCAAGAGTAGATAGATTGTGAGCTGATTTTAAAGCTGACATGTAATGCACGGTCCGGGAGTTCTTCCCGCTATGATCATCATCCGAGAACAATTTTATTGCCTCGTCATGATGTTCCTTTTCCTGGATTTCCTTTTCTAGACCATAGGCAAGGGTTTCATCTACCTCTACTCCAGAGAGCACGGAATTTATTCTTTCAACGGCAGCAAGACTTGCACGAAGATCCCCAGATGTATTGACTAGGCCTTGAACCTAGAGTTAACATACGAAAGAGTGTTTAATAATGAAGAAGGAAATCATAAAGTCCGATATCAACAAATCAGAATAGAAGGACTCACAGCGAATGTCAGTGTGAAAGTGTATCCAATAAAAGAAGCAAAAGTCCCAACAGAAATTTCACCCTGCCAAAAATATGTACAAACAATCAGCCACAAGGTTTTGAAGTGCAAGGAAAAGGTGGAAGAATGTAGAACACTTACAGCCTTCACTTTACTTCCTCCAAGACAATATAAAGCAATCAGAGAGATGTAAACAGCGACTCTTGTCACTGATTCGTTTAGTGATTTAAACATCCCAAGCCTTATGCCACTACGTCGGTAAGCAAGAACCTGCCACATTCCTTGTGATTAATGAAAGACAAAATTGCAACATTTTCATAGTGATATGATGTCCACAACATCAGATGTCTAAGCACCCATCTTACCTGGTTACCAAACATTGACATTTGGCGATGTTCACCACTAAAAGATCTTACCTGCAAAACAAAAAGTAATAGAAACTTAAACACAGATACATATCTTCTCATCGATTACATCAACAGATGAAAGAGTAAGGGAAAGGAAATATATTGATGAAGTATTATTGATGCTCTTTCGGAACCAATATATCATGAACTGCAGCAGATCAATAGTTAGCGAAGTAGCAGAGCATGTTGAGCTCTTACAGTACGAATAGCAGAAAAAGTTTCTGATACACAGTCAGACATTGACGCTTGGGCCATTCCATGAGCTCTGAAAACTGGAACAGTGGATCGCTTGTACACAGCTTCAAATCAACGACACCAATCAGCAATGGGGAAAAAAGAATAAAGAATGAAATAAGCAACAGTATTTTGCATTGGGATACTAGAGGAACCAACAAGACTAGAGGAGCACAAAACTTCTACCCCTTCTCACTACACATGTAGGTTTCAATGAAGTATGCCAAACTATCACCAGTACCATGCTGAGATTTACGTAAACATTTAAACCTTGCAATGAGCACATAGATGTAAGGGGGATTTACCAACTAAAACAGAAATTGAAAGCATCAGGGCGCCCAATATTGGAGCCAGCTGGGGAGCCAAGGTGAATAAGATGGAAACTGTCCCAATGATCTACAGACATAGAATAGGAGGGACAAAAAAAATAAATATTAGCAAGTTAGGAAGGAGCATAATCCATGGGAATCAGAATCTCATAGATGGTAAGAGAGAACAGCTTTTTTCTCTGATCAACATGTACGTAGAACAGACACATAGAAGGATGCAGAGTTCATCAGAGTCAAAAACTACCTACAGAACAGAACATATGAAATTGAGCTCACTCAGGTTTGGATAGAGTAGCTTGCCTCAGAAAGTGCCCTAAACCCACGATCCCTTGATACATTCTCACTTACAACATCTTTAAGAGATCCCAAATCACTTGTCAATAATGCACTGATTTCACCAACCTGCACACCAATGCCAAAACGAGAATCTCTTGGCATTAAAACCCCAAAACATGGCGGAAGACAAGAACCTCAACCAAATTACAAATGTTAGCAGTTCAGGGATACATACCTTGTACCGATCAAAAAACTCCACCTGGGTTTACACAAAAAGGTTAAAGAAAATCCATGAGTACAAACTATGAATGGCTCAAGATCAAGTTTCAAAATTTTACAAAATCTTGGTGACCATGGTGATTCAAGTTCTGACCTTTTGAATCAGAACTCTCCTGAAAATCTGAGCTCTAAGCGTCGACATAACACTCTCCCACACAACGTTCATGTTAACAACATACAGGACAGTGAAAATTGGCTCCATGGCGTATGCAATTCCAACTTTAGCCAGCAGGCTCCACAGAGGCTCCTGCCTTGCACCAACAAGCACTTCAAAGAATCGCCCTACAGATTTGACGAAACAAAAAATGATCGATCACAAATGCAATCACCGCTCTAACTTTCTCAGCAACCAAAACAAAACAACAAAAAATCTCATTATTAACGAATCATTACCTGAGAAAATGGGCATGGAGAGTGTGCAGGTAGTGCAGCCAACAAGCGAGAGAACCGAAATTCCAATTCTCAACTTATGCCTAAGCAGCAGACTCCACAGAAGCCCCCACTTTACCAGTTTCTTCGACGAGGACCACTCCTCCTCGTCGCCGCCGGCATCCGACAAGTCGGACTTCCGTTCGGGCTCGCTCACTATCGGGTCGGACGCCGATCCGGTAACGTTGGCAAAAGGGATCGTAGCCGCGCCCCTCGTTCTCCGCCGCGGAGCATCGGACAGTAGAATTGGCGGGAAATGGAGTCGGCGAGGGAGAGAGAGCCGCCTGTCACAGAGGCCATTCGTGGCGCGCGCGTGGGAGATCGGATGCAGCAAGCGCGTGGGAGTGGGATGGTGAAGCAGCAACAGCGAGGTGGAGGCTGACGAAACCATGGAATTTGGCGCTGCTGTGCTCCGTTAGGTAACGAGGTAACAACTAACAACCGTGTAGACAGGGTAAAGAGGAAAAAAGAAGAGGCTTTACTTCAGGGACGACAATGATTAAACGCCGTCGTTTGGAGGGGCAGTTAGGTGAAATCGGTCATGGGTGAAGCGAGGAGCCGAGGAGGATCGACGTGTTACCTCGTGAGTTGCCCCGAGGATCAGCCTAGTCACGAGATTCTGGTCTCTCTTTGATTTTCTTCTCTTTATTTTTGTTCCTCTTCTCTCGCCCCTACTTCTTCGCGAATCCCATCGAAATCCACACAAAAAAGATTTTACCTCCCTTCCCTCGGCCTCCATCAGCTTCTCTCCGAAAACCCAATTCGCCGGCGGCGTCTGCTGCCTGTTCCGGAGGAGGGATTTTTCGGGTTTCCGACTTTACTTCATAGCTGTTGTGTTCTCACATTTCTGCGCGGTTGTATGGAATCACTGAACCTCGCTGCTTCCCGCTGATTCTCGACGAGTTCAGCTGAGTTGACTTTTTCTCGCGAGTCCAATGGATTGGAGCCGCTGGGTCCTCGTCTTCGTTGCGTTCTTCTGCTTGGTTCGTGGACTGGGCGCCAGCGATGGTGATGCCGATCCGGTTTACAAGTTAGTTCAAACTCGTGCCTCTTTGATTTCTGATTTCTTCGTGTTTGGTGGGAGTTGGTATGATTCTTCTACTGTAAAGCTTCTTGCTTTCGCCTTACAGTTGAATGCAGTATGTTGGGTGGGATGTGAATTTTGTAGGCCTTAAGGGGTTCGAATCCGGTAAAGCTCTGTCAAATCTGTCAATTGAATGTTCAGGGGTTAGGGATAATGATTGAATTTGAATGATTTGGAGTGGGAGTGGGAGTGGTGTGGGAGGAGAAGCTTCCGATGTGGGTGTCGAAATCTGACTGTTGTTACTTGTTAGTCTACTGTGTGATGATTTCTGGGTCCCTGCTTCCATATTTAGTATTATCACTATTATGTCTGCTGCTATTGTGATTGGAAAACCAATTTTGATGTGGCTCATTGACCCAGGAGCTGCTTGGAGGAGTGCCAGACAACGGGGTGCGTGGGGAAGAAGTGTTTCCAGCACTGCAAATTCTCGTCTGATGGGAAACCGATTGATGGGCCCTGGTATCATCAGGAGCCGCTGTATCAGCGGTGGAAACAATGGGACTGTCAAAGCGACTGTGAATACCATTGCATGATTTCCAGGGAGGATGAGAGGTTGGAACTTGGTCTTAAACCTGTCAAGTACCACGGGAGATGGCCCTTTCATCGTGTTTATGGCATCCAGGTTTTCGTCTTTTAAACACTATATATTCCTGTCTCTAGTATTTGTCGCATATTATGGTCAGCCTGATTAAAAATATGCAATGGTTGTTGTCTGTTTCAGGAACCCGTTTCTGTTGCTCTCGCTGCAGTCATTCTTGCCCTGCAGTTTCATGGGTGGATATCCTTTTTCATCCTTGTATACTACAAGCTGTCACTGAGGCCCAATAAGAAGACTTACTATGAGTACACTGGCTTGTGGCACATCTATGCGCTCTTGTGCATGAATGCCTGGTTCTGGTGTGCTGTGTATCACACTCGGTAAGTTGCTATGGTAGTGCTTTCAGTTGCTTCAAGTATGACTTCCAGTTTCTCGATAGTATTGGATTCCACAGTTTTATGAAAAGCAATAAAAAATTATTTCGACTCTGCCATCTATGATGTGATGCACTTGGGATGTATGATTCACTTGCAAGCTCGATCTCACCACTGATTTTAGGTGTCACTTCACTGCTGCAGGGATGTGGAGTTGACAGAGAAACTGTACTTTTCATCCACAGTGGCATGGGTTGGCTTCAGCCTTATTTTGGCAACACTCCGAGCTTTCGATATAAGGGATGAAGCTGCCAGAGTCATGATTGCTGCCCCAGTGATTGCTTTCGTTACCACACATATCCTGTACCTGAACTTCTACAACTTTGACAAAGGTAAATAATCTCTTTCTCTCTTCTACCCTCCATCGGTCCATCCTTTACCACTTTGGACGTATTTGAAAAACTTGTACCAACCAATCGTAGGTCTGAATGCCAAAGTAAGCGGGGCACTGACCCTAGTCCAGGTTCTGATATGGCTCGTCTGGGCTACAGCCACTCGCCATCCATCGAGGTGGAAGCTGTGGCTGGTAGTTCTCGTGGGAGGAAGCCTGTCCATGCTCGTCGAAGTATACGACTTCGCGCCACTTGGGAGGTACGTGGATGCTCGAGCCATCTGGCACGCAGCAGCCATCCCCCTGGGGTACATCTGGTGGAGTTTTGTAAGGGATGATGCTGAGTTTAGGACATCAAGCCTGCTGAAGAAGACCAAGTAGATGTTTCTCTACCCAAAAAGCTTTGCTTGCTGCAAAGTGGGAAGGGTGGATTGTATTATTTTACCAAAACGCATCCAGGGTGGTGGATGAGTTGGAAAACAAGTTTGTCCTCCTATCTTTTTCCTTGCCAATGCAGTTTGGCAGTCAAAATGCATTGTCAAGAGTGGTCTCCTTTTTATTTGTTTGGGTTTGGGTTTGGAATTTTTTTTTTGGTGATGATTATTTTTATTCCCAACTGCAAATATGTTGGTTCTTACGCTTTGTGTAAGTAAGGCGAAGTTTCTGCTTTTGGTTGTCTGTCTTTTTTGTAGCCTTCATTGGCTGTTGCTTCTTTCTTCATAGGAAGAACTTGTGAATGATGGATCAAATCTTTATTCTATTGTAAATTTGTTGTCATTACTTTGTTCTGTTTAATTTGACTGACATTATAATTTTTGAGCTATTTATGTAGTCAGCTTGTATGTGGGTTGCCCCAAATTGTCTATATGAAATCATGTCATATTGGTAACTCGATTAGAAAGCCTTTTATTGTAGTCCAAGTCGGTATAGAAGTATGAAATGATTGAATTATGGCTTAAGCACAAAATATTATATTATTGACTTTTTAATACGATTCAATTTTAATATGTTGAAATTACAAGATAGAAAAGTGGAAGTTACTGCTACTTCAAATACAGAGTCTTTTATGAATTTTGGTTGAACCCATTCTTCGTGGCTGAACCAATGTGGCCTAGTAGTCCTACGGGTTTCGATTTTGTAATGGTAAGAGCCCATATCAAGTAAACCTGAAGTCTTTATTTTCTTTTTTTTATGGTAAGTAGAGGTGGCAATTGGATCGAATTCGTGGATTCATAGATTGGATTGATGGATCCATGGATCAAATGGATTGGTGGATTCATAGATTGGATCAAATGGATAAGTGGATTGATCCATGAATCCAAATGACATCCAAGGCAGTTTAGATACTAAAATGTCATAATGAAAAATTTTAGGTACCAAAATGTAATTTTCCAATAATATTTTTCGTATAAAATAAAAAATTTAGGTACCAAAATGTAAAATATAAAAAATATAGGTACCAACTCGTATTTTGCCATTTGAATCCATGGATTGATCCATGAATCCACCAATCCAATTGGATTTGGATCAAATGGATTGAATTTAAATGGATTGGATTAGGTGGATAATTTGGTGGATGGATTGGATTGGATTGGATTGAATATGGATTTGGATCCTAATTGCCACCTCTAATGATAAGTGGTAAGTCACGGGACTCACAACCCGCAAATTTTCACTTTTCAAAAGGCATATATGAGACTTAACATGTCTCTCTCTTTCCTCTCTCTAATGGAAACTTTCACTGAACCTTCCAAAGGTTCATTTTCCGTCCCTGTCTGTGGGACTTCTCCAGCTCAATCCAAGGGCACCTGTAAGAATTACCAAGCAATTAGTAAAGATATACATCAAATCGATGACAAGCAAGAGGAGGGGAGAAGCTTTCAACCACCAACAGTAGAGATTCTAAAGGGGATTGGACTAAACAGGGGAAGCTCTGTTCTTTTCTTTGGGAATGGAAAGATATGGAAGCCACCAGATCTGTGGGAGTGTACATTACAATGTCAGAGTAAGAAGAAGAGAAGAGGGAAACGAGGGAATAGAAGGTCTAGGAAGATCTATGCTACAAACTATGGAACTAACCGGTGGCAGGGTGAAGGGAGTCTTGAGCCAAGTGCCCCTGCTACGGATGAGAACAAACAGAGGAGGGCAGAAACCAGCCAAGAGAAGCATAATGAATGCTTTGACAAGAGAGTTACCCACCACCAGCAAGAGGAAAAAGAAGCCCGTATACGAAGGAGAAGCCTTAAAGAGGGCAGAGAAGCTTACCTACAAAGGAGAAGCCATAAAGAGGCCAAAAAAGATAGGAAAAGGGGGCCAAGGGAAATTGATTATATAAGAAAGCTTCAATTCCACATCCTCTGCTACCTAATTCACAATCTTCTTCCCCCCCAAAAAACACAACCTCTTTCAACAGAAAAATACCACTTGTGTCCCATGGATAGTAATAGAAGCAGAGCACAAATGGAACCAAGAGGGGAGAGCTACCTCATACCTTCTTCATCGAGAGGCAGAGGTGGGCGCCCAAACCTGTCATCTTCAGGAGGCAGGGGAATTGCAATGTTGCTGGGAAAGATGCTGACAGAGAGTAAGGTGGCTCTGGCGAAAGCGGCAGGTGCAGCACGCTATGTGATAACGATGTAATTGCACATGTTTGCGCCCCTAGTTCTTATCCGTTTGAGGGGCATAGTCGTGTATTTTGGCCTATTTTACGCTGGGTTGTGCTATTTTGTCATATTTCAGGTCCCAGGCGTCAAAGGAAAGGCTAAGCACGAGTTTCGGGGCATTCGGAAGTCATTTCGTCGAGCTGGAGCCAAAACACGGGCACACCTAAAACAGAACACGCTCGTGTTCTGTGGCCGTGCTTTTACTGCCGAGAGCTAATTGAGTTTGGCAAATTCAAGCTGCAAACACGGGCTGAAAGCACGGCCGTGTCCACCAAAGCACGACCGTGTCCACCCGAAAGCACGACCGTGTTTCTCCCAACACAATGGCCGTGTAATTAACCCTAGCCAAAGCACGGGCGGGCTGAGGCATTACACGGCCGTGCCCTCGACCGTGCTTTGGCCACTGATGCCTTTTTAAGCAGATTTTCAGCCAAAGAGAAGGGGATTCGAGTTTTAGAGAGACAGAGCGATTCCTAGAGAGAGAAAGTGACGAACAAGAGTCTCCAAGTGCCCTAGCTTGATCTTCATCGCCATTGGAGGCCAGTTTGAGCTTGGAGAAGTGCCGATCAACGTCCAGGAGCAGGAATCCATCCTTCACAGTATGAATTCCGCGTCTGATTCTGCTTTTGTCTCTTTCTCCATGGAGTAGTTCTCCCATTCATCTGGGTATGGAGAACCCTAGATTTGTATGTTAGGCTTTGATTGTATGAACCCAAGTATTGATTCTATGATTTGATTATATTCAATTGAGGTTTGAATGATTGAATGGCATGAATCCTGATCAAATTCCTGTTGTTTCTGCTTTAACCTAGAATGAGAATATCTGCCTAGGTTGATAGAGCATCCTTGATTGAAGGTAGGGAGTTGGTGACTTTAGGCGAGGAACCAACTCACTATTATGTACCGGATTTACTCCGGTAGTGGAGGTTTTGTTTGTTAAGGCCTCAATCTGTTTACTCCGGTGGAGGTTAGTCGCCCGCTAGAGACTCAGATTGAGAGGGTCTGAAGACCTTTAGTCGAGACTTCAGGCTGTTTAAGAACCTTCCGCAGTATAACTATCATAGAACTGAATTTGGTAATTACAATCCGGTTTAACTGCAATCTAGGGGGAACCATATCCGGGTGACCTCTCTTAACCTGAATACAACAGTTTACTTGCTTTGTTAGTTTGTTAGTTTAAACTTGCATTAAAGTTTCATTGCTAGATAACAAGAATTCACTGAGTAGTCATCAGATCTAGGACCCGGGTTGATAATTAAACCCAAACCCGCTATACTACGCTTTAGGAAGTGGTTACACTTGGCCAATTCCTAGGGTGACAGTAGAAGTGAGTCAAGTTTTTGGCGCCGTTGCCGGGGAGCGGCTAGGTTGTTGAAGAAAAGTGATTTATGTTAATTTAGCTTTTCTTTTTGCTTTGTTTGCTTTGTCCCACTTGTGCCTTCACGGGTTTGCTTGCTGGGGTGTGTGCAGGTAGTGCATGACCCGTAGCCAGTCAGGAGGTTTACTGCCGTTGAATCCAGAGATTGACCGCACCTATCGCCAGCTCAGGAGACAACAGCGAGCTAGACTGGCTACGGAAGAGCGCATAGACGGCCACCTGAGTAGCGATTCTGAAGAAGAGTACGGGATGGACGGAGACTACAATCAACACCAGGGGAATCCGCAGCAAGTTCCCCCGGTGAATCAGGTCCTGGGGAACAACCCCATACCCCAGGATCATGGGGTTCATCATCCACCGCCGCCGGATCCCACCTTGGAGTACTACTACACTCCGCGGATTGCTGACATCCGCCCGGTCATCCTCTACCCGCCTACTCCAGCAAACAACTTCGAGATCAAGCCATGCTGGATTCAGCTCATCACATCATCTATCCAGTTCCATGGCTTGAAGGATGAGGAGGCCAGGGTGCATCTTTCCCGTTTTCTGCAGCTGACGAACGGGTTCAAGCTGAATGGTGTCCCTGATGATGCAATCCGCCTTCACCTTTTCCCCCATTCTCTGGCGGGGAATGCTAAGAGGTGGTTGGAGACCCAGCCCCCATTGTCCATCACCTCTTGGGACGATCTGGCTGACAAATTCGTGCACAGGTACTATCCGGCATCGAAGACTACAGAGATCCAGCGGGAGATCACTCACTTCCGCCCAGAGCCAGATGAGTCACTTCGTGATGCTTGGGAGCGGTACATGGGCTATTTCTGGCAGTGTCCCTATCATGGCTTCAGTGATGCATTCACAGTGGGGAACTTCTACAGTGCCCTCTCTCCAGATAGCCAGAGGGTGATTGAGTCTCTATGCCCAGGAGGGGATATTCTTACTAAGACTCCACCCGAGCTGAACCAGATGATCAGTACTTTGGCTGCCCGAGATCATTCTTGGGGACAGGGTAGCCGAGGTAGACAGTCCCAGGACCGTGGTGTGCACGCCATGGAGACCAGATCTGGGCTCGAGCAGCAGGTAGCTGAGCTAATGCAGACATTGAAGCAGCCCAACAGTCTTATTCCGGGCAGAGGTTTGGCTACACCTCCAGTAGCTCAATGTCAGTGGTGTGAGAGCTCAAATCACCTGGTGGAAGACTGCCAGGCTATGAGGGAGTCTACTACTCCCCAAGAGTAGTTGGACTTCATCGCCAATGCTAGGCGCCTCGACCCGTACAGCAACACATATAATGAGGGGTGGCGCCAGCATCCCAACTTCTCTTGGGGCAGCAACACCACTAAGCCACCTGGTTTCCCAGCACCAGCTGGTGGCTTTCAGCAGAGGAAGCCCTTCCAGGCTCGACAGGGGCCATCCCCACAGTAGTAGCCCTACCAGCCTAGGCAGGGGCAACCATTCCAGCAGCCCCAGCGCCAGTTCGCCGAGCCAGCAGCAGCTCCGGCCCCAGATGACCGGATGACAAAGCTGGAAAATATTCTAGCTTCATTCATGACTAGCACTCAGGCTGCTATCACGTCACTAGAGGCAGGTAAGCGGAACCAGGGTGCCATTTTGCAAGATCTGCAGACCCAGGTGGGCATCTTGGCCCGCCAAAACACTACCAGGGCACCAAGGACTATGCCTGCCACCCATATCCCGAATCCTCGGGACCCTCACCAGCTCCAGCAGCTGGATGCCATTTTTACCAGGAGCGGTCAGACCATATCTGCTGATCCTGTCCCGGCCAGACAGGAGGAACCACTACCTGCTTCAGCTTTTCCAGCCGACGATGCAGAAGTGCCGGTGGAGAAGGAAGCCCCTGCTCCCAAGCCACAACCAGTGGTTAAGGAGCATGTACCCCAGCTTCCCTTCCCCACTCGCCTACACAAAGACAAGCTGAAGACTGAGTTTGCCAAGTTTATGGCAATGTTGAAGCAGCTCAACATCAGCATACCGTTCGTGGAGGCACTGTCGAAGATGCCCAAGTATGCCAAGTTCATGAAAGACCTCCTCACCGACAAGAAGAAACTTGGGGATCTTTCGACAGTGATGCTCAGTGAGGAGTGTTCTGCTATCCTGCAGAACAAGCTGCTCGAGAAGCGAAAAGACCCAGGGAGTTTTACTATCCCTCTTACTATTGGCAGCATGCATGTAGGCAAGTCCTTGGCGGACCTAGGAGCTAGCATAAATGTCATGCCATATAAGTTGTATAAAAAGCTAGACCTAGGTGAACTTAGCCCTACTAGGATGAGCATTCAGCTAGCTGATCGTTCCATTGTGCATCCTAGGGGAATCATAGAGGATCTGCTTGTCAGTGTCGGTGCATCCACATATCCTGTTGATTTTGTTATTCTTGATATACATGAGGATGTGGATGTGCCTTTGATTCTGGGGAGACCATTTCTTGCCACCGCCAAGGCACTTATTGATGTGCATGATGGTAAACTGATCCTGCGTGCTGGGAATGAACAGGCTACTTTTTCTGTGACTGAATTTGACCACTGTGCTATGAGTGCTGTCACGCCTGTACATGCCATTTCTGATCAGGTACACGAGCCTGTCGTGAATCCTTCTGCACCTCTTATTTTGCAGGACCCGCCTATCATTCCTTCGCTGCCACTCCATCCAGTCTCGCCTTCGAACAAAAAGATCAAGGAGGAGTGGCGGCCGAAGCAGCAGATTGCTAAACCTGCACGGAAGAAGAGTGGAGACCACTATGAGCTGGTCCCACCTCCTGCACCACGACCACCCTGGCCGTCCGGGTACTCACTCGCTTGCATCTTGCCGGATGGCCAGGTCGAGCTGACCGATGATGGTGGTCGCATCCGTCGGGTGCATGGCCACAACCTGAAGCTGTACCTTAAGAGCGACGTGGATCCACTCTTGGAGGCACCTGTTCCTGCACCTCCCTGAGTATCCACCATGGGCGTCCAACTAAAAGACGGTAAAGAAGCGCTTGTGGGGAGGCAACCCCACCACGGTTTGACTTTCTTTCTTGTGTTTTAAGTCGGATTGTAAACCAGTTTGGTTTTGGTTTGTTTTCTTTTGTTTTGGACGATGTATTATTGGGCTGACATTGGACCTAACATATTGTGCTTGAGCTCTTTGGTTTCCTTTGGCTGTGCTTGTCTTGACTGGTCCTCTATCCAGTCCGCGTCACTCGACTGGTCCGCTTCTAGCCTCCTGCAGTTCGTGCATACCGGTAACATCGTTCCCCTTTCCCTTCCCTCTTCTCCATTGAGGGCAATTTCGATCTTAAGTGTGGGGGGATGTTTATCTTTTGACTGCATTAGATCTGTTTGTGTGCTTGGAGCCTAGTCCACTGTCCAAATTTTTAAAATTTGAGTGCTCCAAGTACGTGTTCCTTGCAATTGCCTGCTCAGTATGCTTTGTATTGACAGTCTTTATAGTAATATGCAACCTAGGGAGGTAGTGTAGCACTATGGAGGATGTTGATGCATTTAAGAAGTCTCATTTCTTCTTCATATTGTGTTGGTTGATTGAGTGAGTTAGTGATCTTAGGACCCTTGAATTGTGTGGTGTTGTGGACTCTCTACCTGTCA